TTGAAATACTGCAGCTGATAACTCAGTATATATTCAGTAACCACAAAGTCTCTGTGCTAACGATGTTTCAGATTCTGCTTGACATTGTAGCATGGGATTATCTGTTGACTGGAATGTTTGGGTGTTCTTATCATTTGCTTGAAACGCCTGTCAACTTGCGGCAGGATACAGAGGTCGTTATCGTCGTTTTGAGACTTCATTCCAATGACATATCTCCCAACAGGTGTTCGTATATGCCTGATCAGATTGCTTAGGAAGATAATGGTCCTCTATCAGTCACGTCCACACTCACCATAAACAAGTGCATTTAGCATTCTAAAACATGCACGTTAGACACATTTACGATTTGTGATGTTTATGTAAGAGTGTGTTTTCCACTTAAGCCCGAGACCTGACAATCACGTTTGAGTCTTGATGCAATTTTCCTGTCAACGAATTCAGAGGCGTTATTTACGGGTGTATCACCTTTCTGAGTTTTTGACCTTCGGGGGTTTCGGTTTTGACACAGCCGTCTCTTTGTCCGTCTAATGACTTGTTGCAACGTGTCGAACTGATAGTTTTTACTGGGTTGTTGGTAGAGGTCCTTTTTCACATTTTGTGGCGTCGCAGATTTGTATGGTCTCATTGTTTTTGAAAAGTCAGCCAGTCAGTAAGAGAGCGTGGGTTTAGGTAGCCTTTAGTAATATTCTTGCTGTATAATGCGTTAATACAATATACCCTATATTCATCTGTGAATAAGTGGGGTAGCCTAGTGGTTAAAGCGTTTGCTCGTCACGCCGAAGACTCGGGTTCGATTCCCCACATGGACACAATGTGTGAAGCCCATTTCTGGTGTCCCCCGCCGTGATATTGCTGGAATATTGCTTAAGGTGACGTAAAACTAAACTCACTCACTTACTTATCTGTGAATCGGACCGGACCGTCACTTTAACCACCAGCCTACACCACGTTTATAAACCCTCTCCTACGTTCGTTGGATCTTTCAGAGACTATCCACGACGTACCTACTTCTCCCTCGTTCAAAACAATAGGACTACCAATATAAAACCATACTCGTCCAATTCTGCCCAGACCATCAACACCACAGCTTTTTAAGTGACACATGCCATTGGTGGGTTAACGAGATATCGTGGTAATACAAGTACCTGCTTCAGATAACATTCCAGCGTGACTCCAACGAGATCACCAAGTTTCGTGCGCAATCAGATAACGTTCATATGTTTATCTAACTACACATTCAAACGATGTCCCTCCCGTGGTTGTGTAACCTTTGTGTCGTTGAGTCAAAGTTAACTAGCGTCATGATGTACCTCCCATGTCACACCATTCCCAGCTAACAATTTCACGTTGTCACAACGTTATGCTTTCGCTGTTACAACGTTATTCTGTGGACTCTATTTACGTTGTCACAATGTTGTTCCCTGACGTTGTGATACGTTATCTTTACGTCAACGTTATGCTTTCGCTGTTACAACGTTATTCTGTGGACTCCATTTCCGTTGTCACAGCGTTGTTGCCTGACGTTGCGGTACGTCATTTGTACGTCACCACACGTTAAACGTAGTTTATGCTAACGTATTTTACATTGTCTTAACCTTCTATTTAACGTTAATAGTTGAATAGTTTTCCCAGTAGTGAACACAACGTAAGAAACAAAGCGGAAATTCACTTCAATGTTTGTTCGTCAATTTGCATGTTGTTTTGGTCGTGTGTTTCTGTAGCTGCAGCTGAATAGTGAAGAAAGAATCTTTGAAAGGTTTTACAGAAAACTCTGTCGTGACACCAACTTGTGAGAAACGTTGTTATAACCTTGCGAGGAGCCCAAAGCCTAACGTTTCGTCAGCGTTAATTTGCAACGTTATTATTACGTTGTGACATAACGTAATACTAACGTGACAACGTTGTGTCATGACGTTACCAATCTTCAACCTTCCCGTTAGCTGGGTTAATCCCTGGTACTTATTCCCGATTGGCTCTAATCAAGATTCATCTATTGTTGGCACCGTGACCCGCAGCCTGATTCATACCCATGGATCTTATCCAAGTCATAAATTGTTTATCCGAACAAATGTATTATCCGGAAGCCGTTTGTGCAAAGGTCCAGATTCACGGGGCTTTGGTATTTCTGGATTTGGGCAACACCAAGCAGTGGTTGGGCACGTGTTGTTCTGCTACCATGCGTTATACGTTAACTTCTTGTGGCATTTACAAGCTGGTATGATGAAGAGGAAGGCTTTTTTATGGATAGACAACTTCTTTATTGCAACAGATGCAACGTTTCGGTGTAGATGCTAACATCGTTATCGGGCAAACATCTTCTTCCGTACAAATTAGTTGGTACGGTCACAAAGTTGTACCCATAAGAATTCAAAATACACCCGAAGTGTACAGTTGCCCCGTATATATTTTTAGATTAGTCAGCACCATAGTCTGACTTTGTGGTTTAACCCTTTAACATCTGCAAAGTTTCTTTCTATCCGCAGGCACAGTTAAAACACTCTGACATACTTAAGTGCTGTTCTGAGTGGAGTGAAATCAAACTCAGTCCTTGATCTCTCACTCCAGTGCAAACCTCTTGTTTCAGTCATGACGTATTGGGTTCCTGGTCTGTCTTGTAATGTAAGCACTGGCCTAGTTTATTTCACAATGAGGCCTAACAGTTTGCTGTGGAGTGGTAAACTGAAAAGAAGGGAAGACAAATGTAATACGCTGGAGGTCTATCGATTATTTAATATCGATCGATAGTGGGCATATAGCCAATTCAATTCTACAGATTTACCCACCCAACCTACAAATAATGAGACCAGTGAAACTGCCCTACTTCTGTTTTTCTCTCTCCCTCTCTTCTCGCTCTCACTATATATACATATACATATATGTGTGTTAGACTAACGTTTAGTCTCTAAATATATACTCTCCCAAAAAAGAAACGCATATAGGAATTTCAACTGTATTGTTATGTTTATTTTGAAACATCTTGTAGGCTTTATGAGTCAATGAAATATAGCGAAATTGCACACTGGGAATGCAGACTCATCCGTCTTTGGCACCAACTCGAGGAAAGTCAGTTTGAGTGTCACATGGAGACATGTGGTGGCGCTGAAGTCAATAACTCGTGTGACCACCGTGGGCATCCAGAACTGCATGGCATCGCCTCGGCATCGAACGAATAAGTCTCAGAATCTCGTGTTGCCCAATCGCAGCCCACTCTGCCTGTAGTGCCTGTGCGAGTTGCTGAAGTGTCTGGGGCTGAGGGTTACGATGTCGCACCCGTCTGTCCAGGGCATCCCACAGATGTTCGATCGGGTTTAAGTCCGGTGATCTTGATGGGCCAGGGGAGCACATTGATGTTGTGGTTCTGGAGGAAGTCTCCAGTGTGACGTGCTGTGTTGGGCCTGGCATTGTCCTGTTGAAACAACTCTCTCTGGCGATCAATGGTTGGAAGGAGGTGTGGGCGTAGGATTTCGTCACAGTACCGTTGAGCTGTCAGGTTGCCCTGGATCATCACCAAATCACTTCTCCTACGGCACCTGGGGAACGCAAGCGTCGGCGAAACGTTCACGTCGACGTCTGTTCACCCGCATTATTCCATCGCGTCGTTCCAATAGAAATCGTGATTCATCACTGAACCAGATTCTACGCCAATTCGGTAGGTTCCAGGCCTGGACGTTGGTGCACCATTGAACTCGATGTCGACGATGTTGTTGTCGAAGCACAGGGCCAAGATAAGGTCTTCTGGCACGTAAACCAGCCTCTCTCAACCTGTCCCTGACGGTCTGTGCAGAAAGCCTCCTCAATCCGGGTATTTGTCGAGCGGTACTGGTCGCCGTAGCTGTTCGATGACGCAGGTGATGTACCCGGATGTAATGATCCTGCGCCGCAGTGGTCGCTCGAGGTCGCCCACTACGAGGGGCATCTGCTACCTCATTCTGCCGGCGATATCTCTCCCAGAGCCGTGAAATGGTGCTTTGGTGAACATTCATGCGTCGGGCAACTGCACGTTGAGACTGGCCAGCTTCAAGCAAACCAATGGCGATATGACGGTTGGCTTCACTTAGACGTGGCATTTTGCGTTCCTCAACAATATTCCAAATACAGTGAATAATCGACAAACAGCCATCAACCTTTTATACCCATCATTGAGACTATCTGATCCCCAACTTTCACGTGCATTGCATGTGAATTGTGTATTCTGTGACACTACACGCCGAAATTGAAAATCATGCTGTTAAATACGGGTATTTTACGGATGGTGCGTTTTGTTGTGATGTTTCAAAACATAAACACCATAGGACTCATAAACAGACCAAAACCTTTTGTAAAATGAATCACGTTTTAATTCATTGCTACATGAAATTGCTATTTTCATGATGCGTTTCTTTTTGGGAGAGTATATATAATTGTGTTAGTAACAAATAATCCCATTCAAAATGAAAAGGAACCCCAGTGAGATGTGAGATTTAGAACCCGAGGAAATCTAGACTTGCTTCATTTAAGGCTTTAGCATTGCCGAGAGGGCTAGGCAGAGGAAAACAATATGGTTGAGTTACTGTCAGACAGACTAATATGTACGTATATATACAGTCTGTATGACAAGGTACATACAAGCTTGCTTATCCTACAAAAATAATCATACAGCTTTTTCATTCATTTGTAAATATAATTGTCCAAAAGGGTCAGCTGTCACACATTCAAACTTTCAAATTTACACAGATTGTTTTGTTAACTTCGCAATTCCAGTTACGCAAAAATAATTCTTATTCTACCTTTCAAGACCTTGTCGTGTGAATATCAGTACGACTGTCTGTTGTTTGATCTTCCCCACATAGGTACAATGTGTGAAGCCCATATCTGGTGTTCCCCACCGTGATATTGGTGGAACATTGCTAAAACCGGCGTAAAACTAAACTCATTCACTCACTCACTGTTGTTTGATCAGGTAAAGGCTTTACCTCAGTACTTTGTGTATATGCTCTATACACGTAAGTGATTTTCCACAGCTTACCGGGAGACGGCGAGAGGGCAATGATGAGCTGATGAAGGTGGTGTCTAGCATTGAACATGATCTCAGCTTCCTTGCCAATCCAGGCAACAGCCTTTTGATGGCGCTGTTTCCCTTTATGAGATACCTTCCCAGCAAGACTGGTCGGAGTTACAGAAACTTTATGGGCAAAATGGACGAAGTGGTCGGCATGTTCATCAAAGAATATTCAGTAAGTAGCTTAATGTTTGTCAAAATCTGAAAGATGTATCTAGTAAACGTTCTTTTGAACGTTATTTGCATGTGTCACCCATTGCTTTTCTTTGTTATTTTTCAGATTTAAAAAGCAATCCATTTTATTGCGTGAATGACGACGATTTTAGGTAAAATATCCCGGATCGAATATGTATAGAGCTTATTGAAAATAATCAACCCGAGAAGATCCGGGTTAGAATTGGTCTTCAGCAACCCATTCTTCGCGTAAGGGGCGACTAACGAGATCGGGTGGTCAGGCTCGCTGACATGGTTGACACATGTCATCGTATCGCATTTGCGTAGATGGATACTTATGCTGTTGATCACTGGATTGTCTGGTCTGGATTGTCTGTATTTACAGGCCGCCGCCATATAGCTTGAATATTCCTGCGTTCGCAGTTAAACAACAGAAAACAAAACATAATGACATTGTTTTTTTTTTTCAGAATGGAGACATTGATAGCGAAAGTACAGCAGGCCAGCTTCTCGGTGGGAACGTTGAAGTAGAGGGGAAAAAGTTGACCGAAGATGATATCAGAGGCCTTGTCATGGATCTTCTTGGCGCAGGTTGTAACCCATTGTAACCCATCATACAATACGTGTGACTATTATACGACATATAAACTGAACGCCAAAAGAAATGTTACACCTCTGAACATTAGAATATCCTAAAATGTTATATGGATAGAAGACTTTGGTTTGGTATGTTTTAACAACCAATCATGTAACTCTGTTGAGTCAAAACATCAGACTGATGAATTCATTGATAATTAGGATATCGACATGTTTGTTTAGGTGGGGTCCATTGTCCTATTTTCAATCATGTAAAAATTCAACTCAAAAGTGTAAAAAACAGTTAATAATGGGTCCAAATGATATTGTTTATGATGATAATGCATGCACATTCACAAAGAGTGATAAAGTTGGGTTTTGGATATGAAAGAATGGTTGTTTACCGTAAAAAGGGACCCAATGCTGAAATTGGATTTTTGTCTCTTTAAAACACATTCCAACCACTTGAGGTTTAATTTTTGGATCATTATGACTTTCGACTGTTTTAGGACTGTTTCCATAAATAGACCAAGAGCCAAATGGTCTAAATTTAGCCCAAAGGGATTTGGTTCTTTAAATTATTGATACTAATTGCATCTTCTTGATACTAATTGTACCTTATTGATATTGGATTTAATGTATTGATACTAGTTGTAACTTATTGACACTAACTGTAACTTATTGATACCAGTTCTTGAAAGGCAGTTAGAAGTTGGACGGACATGAATACGTGACACGTTTTATGGACAACTTCTTTTTATTCTTTATCACGACATTTCAGAGCTAGATCATTGGTCATTCACATCTTGAAGGGGCAAGAATTAGCTCTGAAACTTCGTGATGGAGAATAGAAAGAAGTTGTTATCCATAAAACGCGTCATGTTTTACGCTAATAGATGATAATTGTAACTTATTGACACTGATTCATACTTAATGGTACTAACTGTAACGTATTGACACTAATTGTGATTATATACTAGATGTAACTTATTGACACTAATTCTGACTTATTGATACTAACTGTAACTTATTGACACTATTTGTGACTTATTGATACTAAATGTAACCTATTGACACCAATTGTGACTTATTGATGGTAACTGGAACTTACTGACACTAATTGTAACCTTCTGACACTAATTGTGACTTATTGATGCTAACTGGAACTTATTATCACTAATTGTAACATATTGATGCTAACTGTAACTTATCAACACTAATTGTAACACATTGATGCTAACTGGAACTTTTTGACACTAATTGTGACTTATTGATGATAATTAACGTATTGACACTAATTGTGACTTATTGATGCTAACTGTAACTTATTGATGCTAACTGTAGCCTATTGATACTAACTGTAACTTATTGATGCTAACTGTAACGTATTGACACTGATTGTGACTTATTGATACTAACTGTAATTTATTGACACTGATTGTGACATACTGATAGTAACTGTAACTTATTGACACACTGATTGTGACCATATACTAGTTGTAACGTATTGACACTAATTGTAAGTTATTGACACTAATTGTAACATATTGATGCTAAATGTAACTTATTGACACTAATACTGTTACAGCTGCGGAAACAACAAGACAGACGATGCTCAGCGCTTTGTTGTATATAGCGAACCATCGAAAAGTGCAGGAAAAAATTCAGGCTGAATTGAGCAAAGTTGTCCCCCATGGCGCTATGGTGACCGGTGACGACAAAGCCCGCCTCCCATACACAAACGCCGCTCTGCTAGAGTTTTATAGAGTGCACAGTCCTCTACCTCTCCCGTTTCCTCACGCCACGAGTCGGGATGTTGATTTCCAAGGTTATCACATACCTGAAAATACAACAGTAAGTAGTAAGTAGCGGTAACGACACATGGTGAGTGAGTTTAGTTTTACGCCGCTTTTAGCAATATTCCAGTTTTATCACCAACAGAAATGTGCTTCACACATTGTACCCATGTAGGGAATCGAACCCGGACCTTCGGCGTGACGGACGAACGCTTTAACCACTGGGCTACCCCACCGCCCCAATAACAGATGGACTGTACCCTCTTAACGAAATATATATAGTTGCGTTATGGGTTATCGGACACTTACGGACATCCGTTGTTGTCTCGATTTTCCCATGAAGAAATGTAAAACATGCCACTAACTTGTAACTGAACACAAGCCATCATTTAAGAATATACACTCTCCTGTGATGCAACACCTCTCATCACAGCCCTCCAAACGTATGACGTCCGTCAGAAAATAAGCAGTCGGTGACGGCGTTGTCAGACGTACATGTTCTCGTTAGTGAGTTATGGATCATTTTGTGAGTGAGTGAGTACTGTTTTTCGTCGCTTTTAGCAATATTCCAGCAATATCATGGTGGGGGACACCAGAAATGGGCTTCAAACATTGCTCCCATATGGGGAATCGAACCCGGGTCATCGGCGTCACGATCGAACGTTTAACCACTAGACTACCCCACCGCCCCTGTACATGTTGCTGTTTGTCTTGTATATAAGCACTTGTGTATCAGCACATATAACAATTCCTATGGTATTTCAATGTTTAACCTGTTATAACCAGTACACTGACATACTTATGGACACAGCAGCATGTTATTGTGGACAAGGGCCACAGTCAAGTTGATCGCTTCGCTTCGCGGAGTTGCGTCCCTTCGACTGCGTTGAAACCAACAATTGCAGGTTTGAGATCGCAAATTCGTTCCTATTTTGTCTCTAGGTTTATGACAGAGTAACTATGGTTTATTAAAATATTGGAGAGTCCTTAACGTCTATTGAGCAGTATGATTGTAATACCGTTTAAAGCCGCGCCGAACCAAAATAACGCACTCATATTCAAGAGAATATTTCCCACAGTGGCATTTGAAGTCCAAAATCGTTAAGGCATTTTTAATAGGTTGTTAGAATTGGAATCAAATTCGAACCTGACATATGGCCTGATGAAAGAAATATCATATCCATAATTGATTTTTATTTGTCATAGAACGTGTTGATTTTCGTGCATAACTAATCGAGCGGGTTCTGTTGTCCGTGGGGTTATCCGATTCTCTTTGTTAGCGGACGGCGGGGTAGCCTAGTGGTTAAAGCATTCGCTCGTCTCGCTGAAGACCTGGGTTCGATTTCCCACATGGGTACAATGTGTGAAGCCCGTTTCTGGTGTCCCCCATTGTGATAATGCTGGAATATTGCTAAAAGTGGCGTAAATCTAAACTCACACACTCACTCACCCACTCTTTGTCAGCAAACATAGAAGCGGCATGTATAATGTATATGACCTTACTCAAGAGTGACATCCTGCCATTACAACATAACGCTCTAGAGTGAAAGGCAGTGCTACCTAGTCAACAGGGGCGATGGGGTAGCCTAGTGGTTAATGCGTTCTCTCATCACAACGAAGACCCGGGTTCGATTCCCCACATGGGTACAATGTGTGAAGCCCATTTCTGGTGTCTCCACCGTGGTATTGCTGGAATATTGCTAAAAGCGGCGTAAAACTAAACTCACTCACTACAGTGTCAATAATCAAGGGTTTTCAATTGAGATTTGCAAGTGTAGTTTCGATACACTGAGATTTTAACTTATTGTTCAAAAAAAGGAATGTGGAGACTATAGACATATAACGTATATCTTCTGCCTCTACTTGTTTAGGTGTTATTCAGCATGTGGTCAATTCATCATGATGAAAACTTCTGGGAACGACCATTCGAATACATTCCTGAAAGATTCCTCGACCAAAATGGAGACCTCCTACCCAGCAGCCATGAAAAACGTCGTCGGTAAGAAACAATGATAAGTTAGGCTTGCTTCTTTGTTGCTTAACACCACACACAGTGATATTCAAGTTGTACGGCAGTCTGGACTAAACAATCCAGTGATTGGTGTGCTTCATGTTTGGAATACCTAGCTAATGAAGTCATTGGATTGTGCAGTTCAGACTCGAATATATGCGGACAGAAGATGATGGAATTAAATAATAATCAAACAAATAAACGCAGAATAATAAACAGTATCGTCCATGTAAGTTTATACCTATATTGCATCAGAAGAGTTTGAAGAGAATATTGTTTCGTGCACTCTATCAAGCAATTCGTGATGTCAGCATCTTAATAGTGAGATTTGCATTAATTCAAGATAATATAAATGATGCTTTCCTTCTCAGCAACCGCATAGCTATGGACTACCGGTGTGGTTATATTTGATAACTTTGAGTGTTTCTAAAAGTATTCAACGTACCAATACGGAATAAAAGCAGGGCCTTCTAATACAGCTGATCCCTTGACCATTAGGCTAACAATCCAACCCTCAATTAGCGTTAATATATTATAATTACCATACCAGCATGTACCTACAATGAGTTTTACGATTACATGACTTTTTATTGCAGCTTGGTTGCCTTCAGCTTAGGAAAGCGAATCTGCCCTGGGGAAGGCTTTGCACGTCTTCGCGTCTTCCTCTGCGTGGCAAACATCTTGCAGAACTTCGACATTCTGGCGGACAAGTCATGTCCCCTGCCTCCTGCTGATTCACGCACATTTCAGCAGGGAGTGGTCCTCTATCCACCGTCGTACAAGATACGGCTCAGAAAGAGAGAAAGCAAATAATCGGGAATGTTTCGTCGCAGCAGTAGACTGCTGGCTTTGTAGGAAGAGGAAAGTATGCTTCTTAAAGAGAGAGTATGTACTATAGTAAGAAGCTTATACCAGTACAGATCCAGGCGTTGTAATGACTGGCGAGCTGATGCATGGACACGTTGTCTCCATGCGTTATGGTTATCATAACTATCACAAAGATCATGATAAACATCATACATGCAAAGTCATCAGACGAACAAAATCGTGTTTGAGCCATTTGAATCAAGCTTGATGTGACTGTCAAATGGAAAAGTTGTTCCTAATTTAGTAGACATATTTAACTATGTGGACAGATGTACAAAACGAAATTTGTTCTACTGGACGAACAAAAGAGTGTTTAAATCAAGCTGCCTATTGAACAAGTTGCTCCTGTTTAAAAGACTTTATTAAGTATAATATGTGGACAGATGTACACAATGCAATTTGTTCTAGGAGACGAAGAAGAAAGAGCTTGCAATAAGTGCCAGGTGGCCTCGTTGCTCCTAAAGACATTTAAAGACATTAACGACATTTAAAGATTGAAATACATCATTCACTATGTGGACAGATATATATGTTCTGGGCTTTTGGATCAAGCTTGCTAGGACTGCCCACTTCCTAAATCGGAATAGCCTTTACACGCAGACAAACGTTTACGATATAAATCTAGGACAATTATGAACATATATGAGGTTTAAATTGTAACATGTATGTTTTTACTTAACATTCGTCTCACCATGTACTTTACATCAATCAACAAACATACAAATCATGTCAACAAAAATTGTAATGACAGGCTCTTGACCATTCTTGTAATGATACCCACTCTGATAAGTGTGCAATTTCTATGTCAACAACGTCAGTGGAAGGTTATACTTAAGGCCCTTTTTTGTGCCGCAAGAACGTGTTAATATAATTTTAGTACAATCAGTATTGACAAATTGAAACCATCAATACATTGAACAAGATGTCAAAACTACCAGTTGAGATATTTCTCCCTTCTCAGGTACGTTCATGCCTTCTAATGCTTGCTTTTAGATTGGTAGAAACTACGGTCTGAACTGATATACACAATCTGTAAAAGCTGTTTGACAGTCATGTTCAGATGTGTCAGGGGCCTAAATGAATGCTGAGAGTCATTCTTAATGTTAATCGATACCAAACCATGAGTATTTATTTTGCTTAATGGATATGTATAAACAGCATCAAAAGCTATTTATCATTAATTTTATTATTTTTCTAGTCTGATCCATAGGTACTCATCCTTGATTCTTCAGAGTGTTATACTTCAGCTCGTTACGCCAATTGCGATGGGGTAGCCTAGTGGTTAAAGCGTTCGCTCGTCACGCAGAAGACCGGGGTTCGATTCCCCACACGGGTACAATGTGTGAAACCCATTTCTGGTGTCTCCCGCCGAGATATTGCTGGAATATTGCTAAAGCGACGTAAAAATAACCCACATTCCTTCACGAAGCGAAGGGGTCCAGGGTATGAAGCGTATATGGAATGATGACATAACTCACTGGATAATCGAGGATGATACCTGTTCTGTAGTTTCACCTATAGCGGTTGTATCTGCGTAGTTTTTCTTTTATACGAGAATATTCTATTTATTTTTTTTGCAAACTGTTGACATGACACTGGGTGTGTAATAATTAGATGTGTATGTACTTTGGAAACCGCCAGTCTCAACGATACTGGTTAAAGCGTTTCGTACGATTTTTCTATAGCATACATACCAAATAATATTTCAGCAGCTCCGTACTTTAAAATATAGTCATTTCATGTTCTGCTTTCTGTAGAATCATTTAATGATTATGGAAATGCTTTATGTTGATTTTGTTTAAATATGGACACTCCAAACAGTAACCTGTTGTTGTATAGACGGATAAATTGGACACTCCGGAAAAACTTAGTATTGGTTTTATTTCATCACAAATACAAAACAACCTGTAGTAATAGAATGAGAACTCGCTACACCAAAGGCCTGATGATGAACCCTGCGGTGCGTCATATCTTCGTCACGGTCTTGTTATACCCATGACACGACTCCCTCGGTGTTGGGAACACTTACAGGTCCAAGACCGGTGCCAGACACACTTCTATGAGAACCATATGTACCTAGAACAGAAATAAACACAAGTCAACAACATATTGTGTATATTCTTATTTAATGGAATGAACCCTTGTGGACCCGTGCAAAACTAATTCCAATCATATTGTGATCACATACTTATAATTGGATAATGCTCAAAGGCAAGGCATATTATTGTGTTTCTCATCTTCACGCAAAGCGTTTAGAAGTTGCTTATTGGCGGAATGAAACTAAACAACGAATTAAAGTGCTTCCAATCTAAGCGAACAAATAGATATTTCGAGGTACAAGGATATGGGTAAGCTAACGGCGTTTCGAACATTATTGTCATAATGTATTACGTCGTGACAGTTAGATGTGCAAGGGGGGTTTACCGCCAGCGTTTGTAGCGCTTTAAGAAAACGAACACACAACAAGATATTGACAGATAGGGGATCACAAACACGGCTCAACTTTGATTCGAACTTACATCGGTGTAAAAGCTTTTATAAATTATAGGTTTATATAAAATACATGTATGCACAAGCTTGAAAAGTAATAACAATTATCGTTCAGCATTAAACAAAATTACCCTCTGAACTTAACCTATTGTGGTCATCGTATAGTCTATCCATGTAATCACCTTCAAGAAGTGGAGAATGGAAGTCGAGTGTAAAGGTAACCGGCGTATTAATAATGTAGCGGATTGCGCATTCACTTACGTGGAATGGCTCAGTATAAATGTACTTATTATTTAACATTATCATTTTCATTTCTATTTCGAATCGAAGTACTTTAGGCAATTAACCTGAAGTGGAACATGACAAAGATGAGTTTTACCATAATATGAATCAGAAGACATTGCACTCTCAGAAGTATATGCAGACCATTTACTTGAAAAAGATACAAATAACTATCTACAGTGATAGATATTTGTACCATTGGAACCCGTTTCCTCCTTAGGTGTCCAGACATAGGATGTCATTGATGTAGTTGGCAAGACTTGAATAAATCCTGAACAAATGTGCCCGGGCCAGGTATTTTATACACTAATTAGACAAGTGTTATGTTGAAAAATATCAAGTTTCTACCGGTTAAGATCTAAAAAAAAGTTCATAGCATACTGCTTCATCAGAAATTACCTTGTTCGATGAGATCAAATGAATTTAGTCCGGGAGAAGCTTGAACGTGAGAAGGCCTGACCGGTCTCATAGGTCTGTAGAGTGTAGTTAGGTAGTACAACAGAATCTTTAACATCTGAAGCACAAGAACAGTACAACAGTGACCTTCATCTTTAACATCTGAAGCACAAGAACAGTACAACAGTGACCTTCATCTTTAACATCTGAAGCACAAGAACAGTACAACAGTGACCTTCATCTTTAACATCTGAAGCACAAGAACAGTACATCTTTAACATCTGAAGCACAAGAACAGTACAACAGTGACCTTCATCTTTAACATCTGAAGCACAAGAACAGTACAACAGTGACCTTCATCTTTAACATCTGAAGCACAAGAACAGTACAACAGTGACCTTCATCTTTAACATCTGAAGCACAAGAAAAGTACAGCAGTGACCTTCATCTTTAACATCTGAAGCACAAGAACAGTAAAACTGTGACCTTCATCTTTAACATCTGAAGCACAAGAACAGTACAACAGAGACCTTCATCTTTAACAACTAAAACACAAGAACAGTACAACTGTGACCTTCATCTTTAGCTTCTGAAACACAAGAACAGTACAACTGTGACGTTTATCTTTAGCTTCTGAAACACAAGAACAGTACAACTGTGACGTTTATCTTTCCCATCTGAAACACAAGGACATTGCATCTCTGACCTTCATCTTTAGCTTCTGAAAAACACAAGAACAGAACAACTGTGACGTTTATCTTTACCATCTTAAACACACAAGGACATTGCATCTGTGACCTTCAGCTTTACCATCTGAAGAAATGCCTTCAGAGGTCAGCCCGAGATGCCTTAAACTCTACTGTTCCAAACCGTTATTCAACACAAATTGGTATTGATAACAATTCAGTTTCAACGATATCTTTTTACGCCGTTTTTAGCAATATTCCAGCAATATCAGGATGGGGACACCAGAAATGGGATTCACCCATTGTACCTGTACATGCGTCGAAATATAGATATGAAACAAAGGTAAAATATGTGGAATTACATCAATTACATAATAAAATTACACGGAGTTCCACAGGAGGACCTACCTGTGAAAACTGCTTCGGGGAAACTTGAGTCAAATGTATGCCACGTTGTGTTATATAGTGGTCAAACTATTGATACAATCCCGTTGTGAGTGACGTCCGTCTTCCACTGACACACATGTCATTGTCTGTATTGACCATTGTCCTAAAATGCCCTTAAGCTAATTCATGAATCACGGCAAAGGCATCCCTGGTCCAGTGAAGCTAGAATCCCCTGGCATCAGTGTGCTTGAGAATTTCGATATATCATGGTGTGTTCACCCAAGCATGGATATGATGGTTAACATATATTATTTAGGAGATAATCCTATATACCAACGCGTGAGGTTTTAAATGAAACATTTAGCAGCGTTCAACCAACTATAATCACTTCCAAAATGTAAACACAATAGTATTATCTCCATTCTACCTTGACATATGCACCATGAATAAAACACGTTTTAAATATGCACTCATTACCCTTGCGTAGTGTTTTGACACTGCGCAGTGAACCGGCTCTCAGAAGTGGTTATTGAAAATCTTTCACATCTAATTTTTTAGTAACAGCCAATCAAAACGAACATGCTTAAATGTCATGGTAGAATGTTTGTTGAGTTGTTTGAGAGAGTGTATACATTGTTTTAGTTTAGTCACGCATGAGATAAAAAGTAAAAGCGTCTCTACTGGACCGTGAAACTTAAACAAGGCCAGGCTTGGAGCATTAATACTGAATTTGTCTGCATAAATAGAAATTTCAAATTAATGAATCATGAATACGGAATAATGTCAGTTGATATACATGTTAACCTTTCAGAAATCTCCCATTACGTCTGCCTGTCTGTTCGCCCATCTGTCTGATGCCTTTCGTTTAGGCGTCCTTTTACCCAACAGAACACTTACAGCAAAATAAACGTTTTGTTAAATAAGATACGCTGAATTTTCTGCGATGCTGGGACAGGACAGTTAAAAAACGCTGATACGAAATATAACATATTTGTATTAAGATGTTTCCTTATCAACGAAACGTTAAAATATGGTACTTGTTGGTCCCTGCCTGGCGCTCGGCATTAATGGGTACAACAAGGACTGGTCGGCTCGGAGTCAGTATAATGTCTGAGTGGGGTATTCATGTTTCACTGCGGCATGGTATCTCAGTGGGTTAGCACTATAAAACCAGCTTAAGTCTTGGCTAGTACAAGCAGCTGCACGTACACATACACACGCATGCACGTCGTCATATGAGCGAAATATTCTCCAGCGCGACGTTAAACCCAATTTCACCTCACCTCACCTCACCTTATCAACGAAATACGTTTGCTTTCATATAACTGTTACAATCAATGAATAAATACACACAACTATATTTCATACGAAAACTACGGCTACATAATCAAATGTTTGAGAAGTATTTCTGGAAGCACAAAGTGTTCTTTTCGTAAATCCAAACGCGCTACAGCCATTTGAATGCGATAGTTGTGTTTTAATGCTGCTTTGAAAGTACATGTACTTCACTTGTGTCAAAGCTTGCGAGTTTCGTGTGAGTGAGTGAGTATGGTTTTACACCGCTTTGAGCAATATTCCAGCTATATCACGGCGGGGGACACCAGAAATGGGCTTCACACATTGTACCCATGTGGGGAATCGAACCCGGGTCTTCAGCGTGACGAGCGGACGCTTTAACCATTAGACTACCCCACGGACCCATTCCGTGTGAGAAGATACTGATGCAGGTCTAAAGTACAGTCGGTACAATCCATGAGCAGGGATTTGGTGCTGACATACTAACAGCAAAACTAGGATTAGACCCTAGGTTAATATGTTATATTTAGACCTGAGGGATGAATCCCTGTAATACATGCAATATGTACTTTGCGTCTGTTACATTTCTATGTTGACAAAATATATAAAAAAGCATATCTAAAACATATTTGTTGTGCATTATTAAAGACAAAACATGGACTGATCATACACAGCATCGCCACTGTCTTTCGTTCTTCAATTTCTTCTCCTTTGATTTTGTGCGACTACATGGTTTGTCAGGATAAAGTGAGTGAGTGAGAAAGGTTTTACGCTGTTTTTAGCAATATTACAGCAATATCAGGGCGGGGGACACCAGAAATGGGCTTCACACATTGGACCCATGTGGGGAATCGAACCCGGGTCTTCTGCGTGATGAACGAACGCTTCAACCACAAGGCTACCCCACCGCCCTTCGTCAGGATAAAGACCAGGTTTCAGATATCCGTAGTTTGTGAAGTACATCATTTGGTTTCAAGGCTGTGACAGTCCTATACTTTTATTAAAGATATTAATTCATACCCTCACTCTCAAATGTGTAACCTAGTGATAAAGCGTTCGATCGATTCGATTCCCAACATGGGTACAATGTGTGAAGCCCGATTCTTGTGTCCCCCGCCGGGATATTGTTGGAATATTGCTAAAAGACATATAAACCCTCACTCACTCAAATGTTTCGTAAGGTTGCCTTGGAAAACCATATTCAATTTCTTTGGGAACAAGAATAGCAACGGTGCTGAACTGGCATTACAAATGCTCATTCACTTTTAATAAAATGGTTTTCTTTTTTAAACGGAAGCTGGCCAAAAGGTATATGAAAGGTATATCTTGCAATGTTTATTAATGTCAACAAAACAGGATAAACAATCTTGCAATGTCAACAAAACCGATGAGATAAAACAATCTTGCAATGTTTATTAACCATGCCAAGATCTTTGATAAAATCAGGGAAAAAATGTAACATCAACCCGATTTTTTCCCCACAAGTAGCACTATTTTCTATAAGTCGGTTGCCTCTCAGCTTCTCGAATAAGTATTAATGAATCCATCTGGATGTATTAGATTTGAGCTGAGGTAATGCTCACTGATTCATAGGCATTGTTCATTGTTCTTCTTAGAGCACATCACAATGTACATTGAACAGTTGATCATAAATAACTGTTGTTTCAGATGTTGTGTAACAGGCGGTCATCTGTTTCAATCTATTAAACAAAGGCTGTTCACACACAAGATAAATGACTTAAACGCATGGTGTATAAAAGCCTGGCTTTGCTTGAGATAAAACAGTCTCTCGGCATCACTGAAACTCAGTACACATCTCTGTCTCATTCAGATACATGTAAGTACAACTAATTTAAACGTGTTATTAAAATTGGAATTATAAAGTAAATATGCTGATTTAGTTGTTAAATGATTTGGTCCGAGTTCAGGTGTTTGCGAAAGGTCTCCAATAGTTTTGGTTTTTCTTGCTGATAGAAAATGGTCTTGTGATATTTAAGATATTACCTGCAGTTGATGTTGTGAATCATGTGACTGAGTTAACGCCGCACTCAGCAATATTCCAGCTATATGGCGGGTGAATCCCGTGAACTAGTTTTTGACATCAAAGCTCGATAACTAATGATGACACTCTACAGTTGTAGAAGTGTATTACTGATGAAGTGAATATTAATATTAAATCTATTTATTTAATCTATTATTTCCTTTACAGCATCAGAAAATGAAGGTCATCACTGTGGCAGCAGTCTGTCTGTGCGTCATCGCGACAACAGACGCCTTAGGGCCATTTGGATTCCGTCCTTTTGGTCTTGGTATGCCGGGTGTTGGCGTCCCCCCCTTCGGTCTTGGTGTTCTGCCCATGGGACTGCCCAGACACGTGGGCCACCCTGGAATTGGCTACCCTGGTATCGGAGTACACGGTAAGTTAAACAGATCAGAGATATACATTGTACATGTCACATATCAGTCTACATATTTATAATTATTACCCGCCCGTTGAAGATATCACTGTTTAATAAATCTACAATGTTATTACATAGATATACATGACAGTCTACAAAGTAATATATCTCAGGTACACCTTTATCTAAAGTGAGGAGGACTTTATAACTTCTGAATAGACAAAAAATCATATTCGGCGTGCAATGTGCACGTTTCCGACCAATAAATACACAAGAGCAAGATATTTCACATTTGTGAAATTAGATGTTTATTTATAACTGAATAAAGTATCATTAACAGTTTAGTTTTACGATTTCGGTGCACTGAGTGAATTGACTGAGTGAGTGTAATATTTCCGCCACCTTTAGAAATATTCACCACACACATCCACCCGAACCATCTAAAATAAGGCTGCAACTCCGTTCCTTATTCATCTTTGTGCTTCTTCGTGTGCTTTCAACAGTATTGACATTAAGTAAATATTGATTTTTCCAGGTTTCGGGGATGTGTACGATCTTTATGATCGTTATGATGCCAACGCTGCCACACGAACCGGTGCCGCTCCAACCGGAGCTAGAGCTGGAGCTGCAGTCGGTGTCGGTGCCGGTGCCGCCTATACCGGCGTTGATCATACCATGATGGCGTTCTAATTGGCATCAGCAGCTCTAATGTTGACCAGGAAGAGAGGGCAACTGATGAAGGGGATACCGCATCAAGCCTGTTTAGTGACAATTCTACTTCTGTTTTTGTTCATGCTTAGTTCAACAAAAACGCGTTGACATCATGTAACATTTGAATATGTGAATCATTTGGTTGTTTGTTTTATCAATAAAAATGGAAATAAAAATATAACTTGTTTATGGCATTTTTAAGTCAAGAAAGCATTCGGGGCGGTGGGGTAGCCTAGTGGTTAAAGCGTTCGCTCGTCACGCCGAAGACCCGGGTTCGATTCCCCGCATGGGTACAATGTGTGAAGCTCATTTCTGGTGTCCCCCGCCGTGATATTGCTGGAATATTACTAAAAGCGGCGTAAAACCAAACTCACTCACTCACTCACTCAAGAAAGCATTGGTTTGGGACGCAGTGCACAAGACCTGCATGAGTACATAAGTGTTCGTGAGTGGTTTAAAACTGTTTTTAACACCTGAATACATACGGTGCAGATGCCAAACCTATCACATCATAGCTATTCCCGGACACAAATATATTTGATACAACCGCAAGTGACAACTAGGGATACCAGGCCATATTTAATGACATTTTGGCAATATATAGTGCATGAACAATCTGGAATTCGTTTAGCATTGTACAAGAAAACTTTAACATAATGAAAGTTCCACCACAGTACCCATATAGACAGAGATGTAAACGCTTCCCCACAGACAACATCACCACATATTAAGAGGTCTTTCTGAAATTCCATATCCAGCTCATTTGGGACTTGAATACGCTTATTAGCTATTTATCACTGAGTTATTTGAGTAAACCACTATGGTATATAATGTGAGCAGTCAAGACTTTTCACAGGAAGGAGTGATACATGTATCATTTAGATAAAAAAGATAACACACAGGGAGATTGACAACACATGGGGGAGAATGACAACACACAGGGGAGACTGACAACACACTGGGTAGACTGACATCACACAAGGGAGAATGACAACACATGTGGAAGACTGACAACACATGGGGGAGAATGACAACACATGAGAGAGACTGACAACACATGCGAGAGACTGACATCACACAAGGGAGAATGACAACACATGTGGAAGACTGACAACACATGGGGGAGAATGACAACACATGTGGAAGACTGACAACACATGGGGAGAATGACAACACATGAGAGAGACTGACAACACATGGGAGAGAATGACAACATATAAGGGAGACAGACAACACATGGGAGAGAGTGACAACACATAGGGTAGACTGACAACACATAGGGTAGACTGACAACACATAGGGTAGACTGACAACACATAGGGTAGACTGACAACAAATAAGGGAAGACTGACAACACATAGGGGAGACTGACAACACAGACGGGAAACTGGCAGCTCATAAGGGAGACTGACAACACATAGGGGAGACTGTGAGACTGACCAGAGATTGGGTAAACTGACAGATTGGATGGTTGATATGTAAACAGACAACTTAAATGCATACAACACACACGCGGCTTGTATCAAGTTGGAAAATGGTGTAATAAAAAGAATTCCCCGAGTTCTGAGTAGAATGTGTCATATTTTTTCATCAAAAGAGGCGGTGTCATGTAATAGTCAATGTGACTTGAATGACAACACACAGGGGAGACTGACACCACATGATGAATATAACGCACAGGGGAGACTGACAACATATGGGGGAGACTGGCAACACATGGAGGTGACTGACAACACATAGGAGAGGCAGACAACATATGGGCGAGACTGACAACACATGAGGGAGACTGACAACACATGGGGGAGACTGTGAGACTGACCACACATGGGTAAACTGACAGAATGGATGGTTGATATTTAAACAGACCACTTAAATGCATACAACACACACGCGGCTTGTATCAAGTTGGAAAATGGTGCAATAAAAAGAATTCCCCGAGTTCTGAGTAGAATGTGTCATATTTTTTCATCAAAAGAGGCGGTGTCATGTAATAGTCAATGTGACTTGAATGACAACACACAGGGGAGACTGATAACACATGATGAAGACTGACAACGCACAGGGGGAGACTGGCAACACATGGGGGAGACTGACAACACATGGGGGAAACTGACAACACATGATGAAGACAACGCACAGGGGAGACTGACAACACATGTGGGAAACTGACAACATATGGAGGTGACTGACAACACATGGGGGAGACTGTGAGACTGACCACACATGGGTAAACTGACAGAATGGATGGTTGATATTTAAACAGACCACTTAAATGCATACAACACACACGCGGCTTGTATCAAGTTGGAACATGATGTAATAAAAAGAATTCCCCGAGTTCTGAGTAGAATGTGTCATATTTTTTCATCAAAAGAGGAGGTGTTATGTGATAGTCGTGAAATACTTTTAAAAACCCATTTTGAATGCTTGAAAAAGTAGTGCTCTCGTTTAAGGTTGATGTGTACTTTGAAATGAATTAAACACTATAGGTCATTGAAAATGCATGTATGCCTTTTTGTTTCGCTTGAATTTGTGGAATTCCTGAATTTAAGACCTGCCCTCAGTTATAGTTACACAATTTGATTATCGAAGGGTCACGTTTTATGATGCAATTCAGGGCTTAAATATGGGAATTTCCGGTAAAGATGCTGATGATGCTGAAACAATGTGTGTGACTGTTCAGAATGTGAAAGGTGTTGCGAAATGTCTTGAAGAATACAACTGCACAAATATGTACACTAGTGAAGCGGTGAGTTGGATTTAGCCCTGCCTTAAATTTCCTTTATGTCACTGCTTGTCAGTATATTATATAGTTTTACAGATCCTTACAGAGTCATGATTGGACGGCCTGCATGTCGCAAAGAGGATGCTTCTGAGAAATGCAAATTGTGGAGCAAACTCTCCATCCCAATCGCCATCTCTGGAAATAGTGGAGTTTAGTTTTTCGCCGCACTCAGCAATATTCCAGCTATATGGTGGCGGTCTGTAAATAATCGAGTCTGGACCAGACAATCCAGTGATCAACAGCATGAGCATCGATCTACGCAAATGGGAACCGATGACATGTGCCAACCAAGTCAGCGAGCCTGACCACCCGATAAGCATGGGTTGCTGAAGATAGTCAAGATGTATCCATGCACAGTTTTAGGTACATTCACGCATATGAAAATGTTCATTTTCATATTTATAAACTTTATTATATTAACCAAACATGCAAGTTTAAAACTAATACAGTTATGTTCTGTACGTTGTCTTGGAAAATCTTTTTTAGTGGAGAAGGTGGGACTGAGAATTTGTAAACTATCCTCAGCGGGTTGACCTGTAATGCATGCATCCACAAAGACCATATTTCCTATCACTATGATGAATCATGCAACGCGTAAGCGAGGCAAGATGATGGCACTACGTCAGGTGATCGTGATTAATTACCTTACAACCAGTGATAACCTGTAAAGCAACAATGAACAGTGAATCCGTAAAACAATAGACGGGCTGAAGTTACCTAGGGTGAAACCCCCTTATTCCAAAACAAAGCCTGTCCTTAGATTCACCGGGATGGAAGAAATTGGTGACCCCGGAGTAATGTCCTTTGAGTAAATGCATGCGTTCCCAGTCGCACCGATCCGGTAAATAGCGGCAATTTTCATACATTTTACGGCTCCGTGTTACATATTTGTAGATACGACGGAATAAATGTTTAAGCATTCTTAACGGTTATTAACGTATATTTTAACAGTTACTGTCTTGGCTCGATTGCTGACTTAGTGCATGCAATTACGTTCCCCTTGTGAAAGTGTGGAATCGAATCCTCTGTGGAAATAAACCAAATAACTGCTACAATTTATATGTTACTAAGAAAGTGTATTAGTTATTCCTAAATAAATGTGTTTTACGTTTGCGACTTCTAAAAGAGATGTTGTTAATTCATTCTAAAACCCTTTTCTAATCTGAAAAATTGTCTTTTCATTCAGTGATGCAACCAACATGAAATTTGAAACTTTTAAATCAGTCATAAATTTTCTAGTTACCTGCACATATCTGGTTGTAATCAGATTATATTCCATCACGCTCCTCGCAGTCGTAAAACAAAGATGGGACAATGTAAGCAAGTTCACAAGTTTTTTGTCAAGATCAAAGAATTCGAAAGATACACGATTACCAATGAAACATGACATTGAAAAGATATAAGTGCTTTGCAAAGACAGTAGCTCTTCTCTATACACCACCAATAATATGTTACAGTTGCAGATTCAGTGGTGTGTTTTGTCATGCTAAACGTAACATGTCTCTCTCATCAGCTACTCCAAACGGTTTTACAGGAGGATGATTAAATATTTACATTAACAAGCTTTCAAAGGCGAAATACAAAAATATGCTTTGATAATGTTCACTAACATGCAATCATTGTGTCCAATAGATTTACAACAAAACACATAAAGTGAAAATGTGATCGGAATTCGGATTTCTCTATGCGAGTTGTCTTGTTTCCATTTATCCCAGAACAATGTTATACATGCATATACTAGAGGAAACATATTATTCTGTATTTAGAGTTAACATGTTTAGCTATTACTTGTATACGTGATTGTTTTCATATATTTGCATTCACTTAAATAAATGTATATGCCATTGTTCTGTGTAATATTATGACATCAGTTGTGCAGTGGATGCATGGCCGTTACATTATTACATGTCCTGAGGCAATTTGTGACTTGACTGTTAGTGGTGTGTACAGGTATATAAGGTCACCCCACTGTTTAAACGTCTCTGTGTCCAGCATTCACCACCTCGTTCCATATACAAACGTGAGTATGCTTATGCGCTTGTTCGTGTTAGGGATTTGATGAATACCATACGTGTATATACGTATTTCGATTCTTACGTTTCAAGAGATTGATTGTTGTCCTGATCTGTCAACGCTTTATCACCATTATCAACGCATTCCATTACTGAATGTAAACATATTTGCAAGGACTTTAAAGAATGATACTTCTAGTGATATTTAGACGATATACCTGTGTACACTCACTCATGTGATCGTGAATGTGCTT